TATATATATATATATATATATATATATATATAGAGAGAGAGAGAGAGAGAGAGAGAGATTAATGAGTATTCTTGTCATAGGAGGGGATTTCCCTCCTTGTCGTATATATATATATATATATATATATATATATAGAGAGAGAGAGAGAGAGAGAGAGAGATTAATGAGTATTCTTGTCATAGGAGGGGATTTCCCTCCTTGTCGCCTATGTGGCACAATACTCATAAAGTAGGAGAGAGAGTGAGTTGGTGGGGATTGTGCCACATAGGCGACAAGGAGGAAAATCTTCTCCTATGACAAGGATACCCATTCTCATGTGTATATGTACATATATACATATTTGTATATGTACATATATACATATATGTACATATATGAGAAATATGGGTATGCTTGGTACCAAGCACAAATTTTGTGCTTGGTAGTGAGGTGACACAATCGAATTAATAATTTATAAAATGTAGTGTACAAGGACATGGATTCCAGATTAGAAGTACCATGTAACATAGCTCTCTTTATTTAGATCTCTATCATGACTGCTCAGGCATGATTATTAATGATACATTAATTTCCCTTGTAAAAGAAATGCTTAATATGTTGTTTATGGGCCTAACTCACCATTTTCTCTATAGGAAAACCAAGTAATATGGCCCAGAAATTAACAAGGAATATCAAATAAATTTAACCAAATATTCAAGCCGAACTTGGATACACACATTTTACTTGCTAATGCTCTTTCTGGTATTAGTTCTTCCTCTTCTTTTTGCTGCCAAGCATCCCTTGACCCGTTGTGCTTGGTGTGCAGGGAAGTGGAGGCTGAACTTTATGATGCCATCCTTTCTACTGTACCTGCAAGGCTCTCAATGGTAGTAAAAGACACAGCATTCCATGAGTATGTATCCTTTTTGAGCAAGCTTTCAAGACTAGAATCTTCTCGACTCTCACTAAGCATAGAAGGGAGAAGGAGGTAGGCCCTCAATGCATTTTTATTTACTTTTCCTTCTGCTTTACAGACTATTAAATTGTGTTTTGTTTAGAAGAAATCATGGAAGAAAAAGAGGATAAAAAGTAGAAGAAATCAGAAAAAAGCTTCTTTTTTCTATCATTCTCACTATTTTTGCAGTGCGAAATTGTGAAGGTCTTCCTCTCACTTTCTTCTAACAGCTAACTGGAAAGGAAATGCCTTATGAAATTTCTCATCTTTCTCTCACTTTCTTCTAACAGCTAGAAAATCTCACAGCAACACAAACCATCCCAGTTAAGGACCCCCCCCACCACCACCACAAACAACAAAAAAGCCGGCGGCGTGATGCGTTGTGTTGCCCGTGATGAGATTTTCTAGCTTTAGAAGAAAGTTGAGAGAAAGATTGAAAATTCATAAGCATTTCCTTTCCAGTTAGCTGCTGGAGAGGAAATGAGAGGAAGACCTTCACAATTTCGGCACTGCAAAAAGAGTGAAATGATAGAAAAAAGAAGGCTTTTTTCTGATTTCTTCTACTTTTCATCTCTTTTTCTTCATGATTTCTTCTAAACAAAACGACAATCTTAATAGTCTGTAAAGCAGAAGGAAAAGTAAATAAGTAAAATGCATTGAGGGCCTACCTCCTTCTCCCTTCCTATGCTTAGTGAGCAGTCGAGAACGATTCTAGTTCTTGAAATCTTGCTCGAATAAAGGAACATACCATGAATGTCTGTCTCTTTTTTACTACCATTGAGAGCCTTGCAGGTACAGCTAGAAAGGATGGCATCATAAAGTTTCAGCCTCACTTCCCTGCACCCAAGCACAACGGGTCAAGGTGCTTGGGCAGCAAAAGAAGAGGAAGAACTTAATACCAGAAAGAGCATTAGCCAAGCTAAAATGTGTGTATCAAGTTCGGCTTGAATATTGGCTTAATTTATTTGATATCTCCTTGTTAATTTCTGGCGCCATTAATTACTTCGGTTTTCCTATAGAGAAAATGGTGAGTTAGGCCCATAAACAACATATTAAGCATTTCTTTTACAAGCGCGAAATTAATCGTATCATTAATAATCATGCCTGAGCAGTCCATATAGAGATTAAATAAATAAGCTATGCTTACAGTCTACTTCTTAATCTGGAATCCATGTCGTTGTACATCTACATTTTTATAAATTATAATTTCATATATTATAATATATAATATATATATATATATATATATATATTATAATATATATATTATATATATATGATATATATATATAATATATATATAGAGAGAGAGAGAGAGAGAGAAGAGGATAGGTATGCTTCGGCGTACTAAGCATAAAAACATTAATGCTCGCTTGGTAGTTGAGGTGACAAAATCCCTTTCACTCATTCAAATGTTGCATATCTTCATGCGCCTCCTCAAACCCATGTGAATGTGATCCCTCATTTGAATAGTAAGTGAGAGCGGGATTGTGTCACCTCACTACCAAGCACAAAAGTCTGTGCTTGGTACCAAGCATAAACCCATATTTTCTCATATAGCTACATATATGTATATATGTACATATACAAATTATGTATATAGTACATATATACACATGAGAATGGGTATCCTTGTCATAAGAGGAAGATTTTCCTCCTTTCGCCTATGTGGCACAATCCCACCAACTCACTCTCTTTCTCCTACTTATGAGTATTCGTGCACATAGCGACAGGCATGGAAATCCCCTCCTCATGACAAGAATACTCATGAATCCTCTCTCTCTCTCTCTCTCTCTCTCTTATATATATATATATATATATATATTATATATATATATATATATTATATATATAATATATTATATATATATACAATATATATATATATATATATGATATATATATATATATATATATAATATATATATATATCATATATATAATCATTAATATTTACCATTATTATACATATTAACAGGTTGATATATATTTACATATATACGTATATATGTATATGTATATATATAGTATATATATATATATATATATATATATATATATATTATACATATATATTTACAATATACATATACAGCCGTATATATGATGTACATATATATATATATTATATATATATATATATATATATATATATATGTATATTAGTATATATATATATATATACACACACACACCACACACACACACACACACACACACACACACAACACACACCATATAGTATATATACTATATAATACTATATATATATATATATATATATATATATATATATATATATATAATATATATTATATATATATATATTATATATATATATATATATTACACACACACACATGAAGCCGCCAACCTTATACTCTATAGCCCGTACCACATAGATAGAGAGAAAGTTTAAGTTTAAGGACATATTAAGCACACACACACACATAAGCTCGCCACCTTCTATATCATAGCGTCGCGTACCACATAAATAGAGAGAAATTAATTAAGCACCAACTGTACCTTCTCATTGGGGCATATGTGTGTTGGTTGTTTGTATATGCAAGTCATCTTCAAATTATCGAATTGGTGCAGGAAAACCTCGTTCCCTAGAAAGCAGCTTCCTAGATCCACAGTGTTCATGCCTGGGGCTAGCATCTCCTCTTACCAGAATCCATTGGATTGCCATGCCCCAAATTGAATCCTAATTTCTGCAAAACTTTTTTGCCATAAAGGACAAAAGCCACATGTGGAGTCAGTATATATGGAATCCCATCTCCATTTTATCCTCATAACAGGAAAAATAATCTGGTTCAGCACAGGGCCACATTGTTGGTTCCACAATGTCCTACAAGATCCCAGATTTATAGCCAAAAACTCATAAACAATGACAACATAATTCCAGAAAGAAAACTATGTGAATTTTCGCGATAAAAAACTTACATTGACAAGGGGATAACAGCTTTTAAAATTTATATCGGCTTTCGATATTTCAAATTGCCCAGTCTGACACAATGCATTCACTACCGAGAGACATCTTTTCTGTTAACAGCGTACATATAATATTAGATCATCACGATTGCAGCGCAGTTTTGTCCAAGTCTCCTGAACTAAGCTCAACTTCAGAGAACTTATTCCTGGCAACAATCGCATATTGAAGTCAGCACGGCTTGCACTATCCATTAAGTGGTATCTACAGGATATAGTATTCATCTTCATTTTGTTATTTCTTGCTCCTCGTTGCTTAACTGATTCTACATCTATTGTATATGCTGTCCCCAGCATTATTTCTAAACATTTTCTTTGTTCAATAGTTGGTTTATCAAATTGTTAGCATCTCCTGAGGACCATGGATGGGTGCTAATAGAATTCAGTTAAAAATTAAAACACGTATTGTGGGAGTTATTGCAAGAAAGAATCTTCCTCCCGTGTAGTTTCTGTCCCGAAAATAAAAGAAGATTCTTGGAACATTATGACACATCCTGTAACTTGAATGGTGTCACATATATGTGCAAACAGATCAGTTTTCACAAAATTTCTACGTGGCTGCTGAAACTATATCTCCCTTTTATAATCTAAATGGGGATCAGTGTGGGGAGTTGCATGAGATCGAGCATTCCACTAGTTGTGAAATGGTGGCCTTTCAACTTGTCTAACATCGTGGTGATCATTCATAGTCTGTGTTTGTAGACTACTCATCAGCACTCCCATCATCTGATTGAGAAGATAATACTAATGCCACGCTTGTGGCTTAACTGTCGTTGAGCATTATTTTCTAGGGAGTCTGAATCAATCACAGAAGTCTTCGATATCACTGTGATCTAAAAGCCGTCTCAGAGTCGAGAAAGGATGGATTTTCTCTTGAACAACGCGTCTCTTCCTAGGCTTGACAGGTGTAGATACACTGCTCAGGTGAAGGTAATCATTTTCATTGGGGTCATTGGGGGTAAGCTTCTTGTGGCCACTACCTCCATCCGTTGCAGATTTTCTTCCACCATAATAAGCGTTTTATTGATCTCGTCTCGCCACTTTTTCGATAAGCTTGCAGGGTATATTCCCAAGCGAACAGCACTTGGAACTATCGAGTATGCAGCATTAGATATCAAATTCCATGGGACTGTAGCTGATCTCGGTTGCCACTTCTTCTGGAATAGTAAGAAAATGTAGAATTAACTAAAAGTTACCCAGGATTGACAAAAAAAAAAGAGAAACAAAATATCATGAAATTTTGAGAGTGATAAGTAAAAGAAAACTGGAGTTATTTATGCAATAAGGACATTAGATTCGCCGCCATAACCACCACACAAGCCTTTTTCCCTCAATTAAAAAGCCGTTTGACTTATAACACAATTCCCTCTGCAGAATCCTCAGGAGGAGAAAAGCAAATGAACATAACAAAATAAGCCCACACGATGTACTTATTGTCATATGATTTTAAAGGTCAAAGACAATAAATAGGCAAGATGTTGGTGACAATGCATATCTTTCGAGCTGCTTTAAACTCATGCAATTTTCAAGAACCTTTGCAACAGCTACTCCAACTGATATGAATCAATAACAAATAGCAAGCAGGCCTTCTTCCTTACAGCTTTAATAAATGAATTCAAGAGTTTACAGGAATTATCTGCGGCAAGTTGTGTGATTTTTAGCCTTTCACTTTTACATCAGGTTAAAAGATAATATGAAGCTCCGAGCTAATGAGATTCTGGATCCAATTAGGGTTTCATTAACAGGGAAAGCCAGATGTATGTGGCTAACTATGAAAGAACATTTTAACAGTAAATGACAATAATAATATAAACACAGTATGTATATGTAAAAATGTATACTGTATATGGATGTATGTGTTATTGTGTGAGGTATGACATGCGCAAGTTCCGTACCTGTCTGATGGCCCCTTGCCTTGCACCAGAACTGAAGAAGGCATAAGCAGTTTTACGAATATCACCAAGACAGCATCTGCTTACTAAATACTCTAGCGATATCGGACGGAAACATTAGAGCCTTCTCGGACAAGCACAATCCTGTAG